TGTCAAGAGGAGCATTTGGATCGTTATGTTAAACTTATAAGACCAACAACATAGTCGATTAGACAGTAGTAAGTTTAAGCATTTACATCTTTGGATAACCAAGGAATGTACTATGAAAACCTACCATATCTACATATAAAATGACAAAGTAAAAATTGTCATAGTGGGAAATCAAATGTCATAGGTCACCCACGCTTAAGCATTGAAACATATATAATGAATACTTACTTGAATGGTGATGACACCCTCTTTGCCAACCCTTTCCATAGCCTTTGCAATCAGCTCTCCAATTTCTCTTTCTCCATTTGCAGAGATTGTCCCAACCTACAAGTGCATAATTAGATTAATAGCCAGTACAAGAGGAACTACCAATATTTTTTATGCGAAAGTTAATCACTTTAATGTAAAGACAATACTTGATTCATCAGCAGCTCACAGGACTAACTAAATTTAAACAGTGGTCTCTAACATTTCAATAAATTTCATCTAAGTAACACTAAATGATTATATCCTCAAAAGACCATTTTGAAAAATCATTAACACTAATTAAGCAAGTAGCGAACATAAGAATAGACAAACCTGAGCAATTTCCTCCGATGTACTTATCATCCGTGCTCTGCTCTTTAAATTTGTAACCACAGCATCAACAGCCATGGAAATACCTCGTCTAAAGTTCATGCCAGCAGCAACTGACTTGCAGCCCTTTGTAAATATTGCACAGGTTAGGACAGTAGCACATGTAGTACCTGCATGTATTTGACAGAACATGTTCAACTGGATCCATAAACTTCATTATGGAGGTCTCATATAATATTTACAATGAGAACCAGTAATCTACAACCGAACTAAGTTGAAAACTCACTGTCACCAGCAACATCATTGGTGGCATTTGCAACCTGCTTTACAAGGCTCGCACCAATGTTTTTGACTTTGTCCTTGAAGTCAATGCTCTTTGCCACGGTGACACCATCCTTTGTCACTTTAGGGGCACCCCAACTTTGCTCAATCACTAAATTACGCCCCTTCACCAATTGAAACGATCAAAACCTTAGGCAGCTACAACATTGATAAACCAGAAGACAAGAACTAAAGTAGAAATGAACAGCAAAAAAATTTACAAGAACAGTCGAAATAACACTTCTTAACAATGCCGTCGCATAAATATCATGAATAAAACTATCGAAGTGAAATACAAGCGTCCCTATATATTCTTCAAACATCAGTACGAAATTACAGAAGTTCATTAATAAGCTAATTGGAAACATGTATAAATAGTTACCACTGCACAATGATAAAATAAAATTGATCACTGGTGGAATGAGTAGTAGCAGGATCATTGAAGTACCTTTGGGCCGATGGTGACTTTAACTGCCTCAGCGAGCTCTTCAACACCCTTAAGCATCAAAGCCCTTGCCTCCACTCCAAATCTAATGTCTTTCGCTGCATAGTTCCTGCTCCAACCCAACCTACTACCAATCTGCATCGAAAAAAAAAAGCACATTATTTGGGCTCATGAAATACGAATTTATTCAGTTCAAAATAAATAAAATAACGAATACTTGGAAGTGAAATCACCTGTTGGTACTCTCCGTGCAGCACGGAGAAACTCTCAGAACGGAGAAACTCTCAGAAACTCTCCGTGCAGCATCCCAATTTTTTTTTTCTTTTTTTTCATTCATTTTGATTCTGATCTTTCTTCTGTTAGGGAAGAATATGGAGTGCTCAAATTGGAGCGCTTTTGAATCATCTTAAGTTCCCCTTTATGACATTTTAACAGTGAAATAGGAGCTTGTTTACATGATCCTTTACCACAAAAGATTACCACAAGGGACGACATAATGCACAAGTAGCGCTTCGGCTCCACATCTAAGCCTCGAGGCCCTCCAATGAAGAGGCGTCACTTGTGCATTATGTCACCCCTTGTGTAAGGGGTGATGTATAAGTAGCACAATTCTTCAAGTAAATGGAAGTACCATAAAATCAAAATTCAGGGACCCAATTGATACAATTTGAAAGTTGTAGACCTAATTACTCTATTTGTAATAGATTGGGACCCTAAATGTAAATTTCTGACCCAAGTTTAATTGAGCGTCCTGATTCTTGCTAGTTAAGGCCTTTGGTTTCCCAAATTGACGAATAGATCCTGACGGTTTTATGTCAACTTTTGGTTGAAGAAAAAAATATAAGGCTAAGGCAAGGTTAAAAAAAAAAGATGAACAATGCCAAATTTTCCTCGTTCAAAAAGAAAAAAAATATAAGGCTAAGGCTATGTGAAAAAAAAAAAAAAAAAAAAGATGAATGGTGCCAAATTCTCCCCGTTCAAAACGGAGAGATTTCTCCGTTATGAACGGAGACAATTATAAACCTATTTTTTCCTTTTTTATACAATATCTATCTTAATAATTTTTTTGTGATATTCCAGAAGATTCTTCCCTTTCTACTCACTCTGTCGCTCATTCCTCTCCCTACGGTTCTTAAAAAATCTTCTCAAATCGCTACTATATAAAAGAGTCACTTTTTGTTCAGAACTAACTGCTAATCGACTATAAATTTACAGTGTCCAAAAATTCAACCACTACAAATATTTAAACAAAAAAATATTCAATGATTAATAAGATGCGATGAATTGATAAGAGTTGTTATTGAGTAAAAGAAGAGGCAATAAAAATTCCAAGAATATGAATATGTTTCAACACCATAGTCAAGTCAACAGTTTTGAAAGTCAACTAAATAATAATACAAATTTAAAATTGTACAAATACGTTTGCGTTTATATTATTGAAGATTCTTCGTGCTTTGCGAAGAAATTATCCGCACTATTTTGTATTTTTTAAGAATTTTGAAGATTCAGATTCAAAGAACTTCCTGTGTGCGCAATTTAGCTTTAAGATTTTCAAATTCTTCATGGGATTAAATAAAATATTCTTTCTTGTAAATCTGAAAATCAAAATAAACATGTATTACAACCTTTCAACCAAGAGGGCAACCGGAACCATAAAACCAGTGCCAAACATAAATCTATAGCCCACCAAAATGGACAATTTCATTCCATCTTTTGTAGCCAGTTTATAAACAATATTGACTCCAACAAATATTGTTTGAAACATCACAAAACAAAATAAATCTACCTACAAGAAACTTGAAACCCTTACCAAGAACGCTAAGAATAAATGAAAATTCAGTTTTTTTTCAAATTCTTGCTTGTACGGGGGAGAACTTAATGGGAAATAGAAGAAATATCTCATCTTCAGCCATGTCCTTCTCCGCAACTCCTACTGCAACAAATAGAAATAGAAAATAGAAAAGAAGAAACGTAAAGTCTTGGTTGTGTGGGGGAAGTGGAATACAGAGCATGAGTGATTGTGTGGGGAAGTGGAAATTTGTGAGAGAGAAGAAAGAGAAATCGAAATGATGGTTGCGTGTGAAAATGAACATAAACAATTACGACTTTACGTTTCATAATTCGTGCAAAATTATTTTTGATATTTCAAATTTATCAATCATATATTTATCTTAGCCGCATTTCAATATTTCAAAGGAAAATTGAAAAACATTATGAAAGAGGGAACAGTGCCAACGTTCATCTTTCCGTTCAGAACGGAGAAGATATGAGTTTCTTTTGTGGTTGAGAGAAGATAGCGTGTTTCATTTGGAAAATGCATTATGAAATGGCTCAGCTAAAACAGCCACTCGACTCGGCTCGGCTCAACTGACGCTGGCCATTCGGCTTATGAACAATAAAAATCAAACTCATTTTTTTATATAGTAGTGATTTAGCCATTGTATTCAATCTTATATTCTCCAAAAAAATAATAATATTACACATAAATCGAAAACATTTTCTTCATTTTTAATCACATATCCTTCAAAAATTACTATTCAAAAATGCATTTTTTCTCTCTGTTAGCAGAGATAACTCATATGTTTATCCTGAAGATTAGTTATGATAATGTTGTTAGATTTTTAGAATTTAAAAAAAAAAGTTTGTTGTAGTCTTTTCCTCTACCTTATCTTATCTTTGTAACAAAACATATTTGTTGCGCGCGCGCGCGCGCACGCACACACACAGAGCAGTTGCTAGGAACTCCCTCATTTATTGAGTTGAGGATTATTCAATCTATTTCTCTTATTGTTAAGTCTCTCAAAATTGGCTCGAATAAGAGCCTAAAAAATTCAGGAATATTCAATGTATATTTTTTAAAACACTCACGTTCAATTACATTTTTTACAAGTCTACAAATTTTGGCGTATTCAAATTGTTAATGATTTTTTAAAAACTTTTATAAATGTTTGTAGGGTAATAACTTCTAGGGTCCTGTCTGGAGAAATTTTTTAGGGAAATTAAAATCAATTTTCTGACCCTTTTTTGTCAGTTTTTTGACCCTTTTTGGTCAGCTGGGACCCATCCGTGAGAGTGTTGGTAAAAAAAATCGGCTGCAAGTGGATGGACAACGGTAAAAAAATCCATGAAAATTTCCTCTAGACAAAATAGAAAGTACAAAAATAAAATTTCTATATTTATCTTCCATTCATCCCAAAATTTTGGGAGATTTTCACAAAAAATAAATAATATGTATTTTTTATTTCTTTTAATATTTCTCTTTCATTTTTTTTCTTTTAGTTTAATTTTTTAAATATATTGTTACTATATAAAAGCCACTTTAAAAGAGAGAATCTTACATTAGTGTTCATTCATGAGCTTTCTCACTCAGATCATTGTTCACGATCATTATTTTCCTGTTTGATCCATGTTCTTTCTAGAAATCATTATTTTCAATCACATATTTTTCAATAAAATAATATTACACGCAAATTCAAAACTGTTTCTATTTTTAATCACATATTTTACATCTCATCACATTAAAAAATACATTTTCTTCTCTATGATATGCATCAAACACTCGGATCCTTCTTTTCACATTTGAGATTTTTGAAGTTATTTTGCACTGTTGCATCCAACTGTAAAGTATCCTTTATTACCTCTTTTATCACTTGAAGTTTGACTATTGGGGCAAGCTTCCAAGATATGATTGGTATTATTTGTACATAAGGCCAATATCTATTAGTATACATAACGTTTATACATTTTACTGTTAATGTGCAAACATTCACACATTTAGTTTTTTAATATTTTCATCATTAATTATACATTTGATCGCGTAAAACATTATTTTTATCTAAATTTTCAATAAAAAGTTGTAAAATGATGGAAATACCCTCATATATTAAATAAAATAAAATTAAAATAAAAAAATTAATTGCAATTATAGTCTTTTTTTAAAAAATAATAACGAATCCCAAAAAACTTATTAAAAAATTAGAAATAAAAAAAAAATCCTCTTTATTACAATTATTACAAGGGCCAATCTTGTTTTCTTCGTCAATTTTCATAAACAATTTTTTCTTTGCTCCAATGTATGTACCCATTGCTACTTTGTTTAATATTTGGAGAAAGTTTTGGCATATGCTATTTGCTTCTTTTTAGAGGAAAGATCTCGCAAATCCCGCAATTCTTACTAGAAGAAAACATGGAGCCTCTATTTTGTACACAACCAAGAAGATTTGCTGTTGTAGCTGTTGCAAGAATTGTGGCAAAAGCTCATTTTCTTGCTTATTTTTTGTAGTTATAACTCAGCTCTTACAACTTTATAATTTCTAATACATAAGTGTGTATTACATTTCCGATGGGAACATATTGTTCTCAAACAGGGGCGGATCCAGGCACGGGCTGGCCGGGACTACATCCTGTGCTCGCCCAAGCCCAGATCCAGTATTTTCTCCCTTTTTTTTGGTTTAGCCCACTAAGGCCAGCCGGCCCAGCCCGTGTACATAAAAAAAATATCGAAGAATGAAGAGTCTAGAAATTTTATCACAGTTTATTAAAACTCGTTGACAGAAATTTTCGATTGATTCCAGGAAGAAATTTCATAACATGGACAAATCTCAATTCAAGCCTGGCTTAAGGTGTTATGAATCCAGAAACAGTATTAAAAAGTGCTTCTCTGTTGTACAATTCTGGCTCCAAGCCTAATGCCTATACTCTTGTTCATTTGATTCGTGCTTGTACGACTACAGGTCGAGTTTCACATGGCCCAGCTACATTCTCACATTCTGAAAGCTGGGTTTGATTCAAATGTCTTTGTGTCAACAGCTTTGATAAATTTTTATGTTATGTTTGAGGAATTAAATGATGCCCAAATATTGTTGGTTCAAATTCCTCAACTAAGTGTGGTTTCTTGGAATTCTTTGATTTCTGGATTTGTTCGTTCGGGTAAGTTCAGAAAAGCATTGAATTTGTTTGTTCAGATGGAAAAATCTGGTGTTTTAGCAGATTCTTACTTACAGCCCCTTTATCAGCTTGTGGGTAGTTGTGTTTAGTGCAGTTTGGAAAATCATTACATTCTAAGATTGTGAAACTTGGTGTTAAATGTATTATTGTTGTTTCCAATTACTTGATTGATGTGTATGAAAAATATGGTTTCCCTGCAGATGCAATATGGATTTTTGATGATATGGTTGATAAGGACACTATCTCTTGGAATTCCATTCTTGCCGCAAATGCAAGAAATGGGAAGCTTGAACGAGCATTTAACATTTTTAACCAAATGCCCAACCCCGATACAATCTCATACAAATAGCTTATCAGTGGCATTGCACAGTTTGGAAACATAGAGATGGA